AGGCAATTCTTGAAATGTATGACTGTTTCCTTAATATACTGATTACAAAGCATTTCTAATGTGTGTCACAACAGGTGTTTTTTTCCAGCTTAGAGCCGTGGTTTTCTGTAAGATAAGTAATTTTTATTGAAGTACTTAAAATGAGTAATACCAAAAATACTGTGTAACAGTAGGTTAAGTGTTTAATATTAAATTGGGTTGAGGGGTGAAAGTGTAAGTGAGCCAAGGGGTGTTCTGAAACTTGGTGAACACTGGAGGGGTTAGGAGGAGGGCTTTTGCCTATCCCAGCCTTTCTGGGGTTTTCTCTCTCCTATAGTAGTTGGGAAGCTTAAATAACAACCTGAAAAGGGTCATTATGAGTTCTTTTGTAGAGAAGAAACAAACTCGGTGTAAAGTGGCTCCCCAATGTTTTGTTCCTTGTCCATTCAGAACTGAAAGCCTCCTCTCCATTAATTAGTGCTGTGCTGTTTGATTTTACTCCTGTGCAACAACTAATTTGATATGGAACAGATGATCGGGAAAGCAGAGAGAAAAGGCAGTATTCAATCCCATAAACTTCAGTAGTCAATACCACAGACTTCAAGTTAAGGGGAGGAAGAAATAGGAAAAGGTGCCCTAGGATCAAGTTCTGATTGCTCATTCTTAGCGTGTTCAAAATAATACTTGACAGGAGATTTTCATTTTCATATAAGTTCTAAATGTTGCAAGGGCCTACCAGTGATCTAAGGTTCCTTTGTGATGGTTCCCTTCCCCTTGCCCATTCATACATGCAGAATGGAAATGGAGGCAGATAAATGGTTAAAGCGCCTGTCTAGTGAACAGGAGATACTGGGTTCAAATCCCAGCAGAGCCTGGGCCAATGCAAAGTAGTATATTATGGCGTTGTAGGGTCAGTACTGGACTCCAAACCACAAGGTTGGCAGTTCAAACCCACTAGCTGCTCCTCGGAAACCCTATACAGGGTTGCTGTGAGGTGGAACCAGCTCAACAGCACTCAATATCTTGAGGGTTATTTGGAACACAGTGGCAGACTTTCCTGCATGCAAAATTAACTTTGTAAATCTGTTGTCTGTATATGGTACTGTTTCCCAGCCTTGACTGCAATTGGGATTGCCTGGGAAGCTCTTAACAAACTTGACTGAGTTTCTGTACTCCAAGAATTTTGATGGAATGAGGTTGGTATGGCCTAGGCAGCAAGACAAATCTTTTGTGCAGCCAAGGCTGGAACCACCAATATTGGGGACTATATTAACCACTTGGTATAAGGTAATATGCCACATTAGAGATAGGTGAAAGGTCAAATAATGGCAGCCAGCCCTATCTGTGGCAAGCAAAAATTTTTAAAGTTTTGAACAGGGAGGTTTGATAAATACTTCATGGCAATTTCTATTTTGAAATAGCCTGGGAAATGAATCAGCTCTAAAAACACAGTGAATGAAGACACAGGCAATTTGCAGTAACCCCAAAACATTTCCAGGGTTTCTGAAGTCTCTGTTTAACAATTTGGTTATGGAAGCAACTTTGTGAAACACAATTCACCTATTCTAGTGACTAAAGTCTTCAGTATGGCTGGTGTGCCTCAGTGTAGAAACAAATCCTCACGACCAATAAATCTTCATAAACTGTGAAAAGATTCAAGTTTTCAAAGACTTTGTTTTACTTGGATCCAGCACTCAAATCAAATGATGTATTGCTGCTGTATTAGGCAAATCTGCACAAGACCTGTAGTGTTCAAGAGCAAGAATGTCAGTTTGGAGGACTGAGGTATGCCTAACTTCACCTCACACGTATGTGAAAGTTGGACCATGATTAAGGAAGACCACAGAGCTGGTGGGGAAGCCTTTTTGAAAATTTTATAACATCATTCATTTGTGGGCAACATAAAATAATCAACTTAAAATTTAGCATGCTATGCTTAGTCCTGGTGTGGCACTGTGGGTTAAGTGCAAAGTTGTTTGAACCGCAAGGTCATTGATTCAAGCTCACCAGTTACTTTTCAGAAATCCTATACAGGGTCGCTATGGGTTGGAACCAAATCAGTGGCACTTAACTTTCATAGTATAATGTGGACATGGAGTCTTAGTGTGCTGTAGGATAAGCACTGGACTAACTTTGGAAACAATATAAAGGGTTGCAATGAGTCAGCACTGACTTAGTAATCATTTTAAAGTGAATACAGCCAACAATTCCAACATCCGACTCCCATTGACTTCGCCTCTACCAACTCTGTACAGTACAAACCCATGGTGCTACCAGATGAGCTCTGGGAGATATGGTAGAGGGCTCCTCTGGTCCAGGCCTGGGTTCCTGTGCTGCCTTACACCTGGAGTTGGGACCCTGAGGGGTCCACAGCTCACTGCTCTCTGACATCATTCAGTACTGGAGATGGCCACATGGGTTTTAAGAAAAAAAAAAAAAGGCAAGACAGTAACATGAATGGTGTGTTCTTTCACATTTCCAAACAAAACAGCAGTTGTATATAAAAAAA